TTCACCCTCAGGACAACCAAAGTTTCCAAGTTCAAGGAGACAAACCTCTCTGAATTACCTACCCCCATTCTCTAAGCTCTTATGCTACTTTAGCTGGCTGCACCACAAAGAAGGACTTTGAAGAAGGGTCTGCAGGCCTTTGGTCTCCCATACAACCGTGATTCATCATGGACTCTAGAATGTTCTCCAAATTAAACTGTGGGCTGGAGCTGGGTGGGGGGGATCACACATGAAATGCAGTCCTCACCTTCCAGGGGCTACTGTCTGAAGAGAGGGACAGATGGGTGACCAACCATGCGGGGGAATGGGCGTGCCACAAGGCACATGGGGACAAGGGGGGTCCTGCTACAGAAACAGTGTGCAAAGGCATCTGACTTGTGGTGGGTGGGTCAGAGTGGCATCAGCTCAGAGGAGACACTTCATCAGTCCTGAGTAACTAATAGGAACCAGTCATGCAAGAGGGCATTGGGATGGGAAAGGAAAAGACCCAAAGACCCATCGAAGCAGAGAGGACGTGCAGTGAATTCATTACCCACAAGGTATCAATGAAGAAACAAACTCCAAAAGGTGGAGTGGCACTCCAGGCCACGCATCTCATAAGCAATGAAACAGTTTAACCTTAGTGCCATAGTCCCTACCTTTTTACGCAACCTGGTCCCTGAAGGAGAATCCTTCTCTCTTAGTGATATCCACATTTTGCTTGAACCCTGGCCTGGAGAACACCTAAGGTGAACACAAATGCCCCTTAATCATTCTGGGAAGGAATACAAAGTATTACAAATTCAAAAGATCCGAGTATTTGGGATTCTTTTCTTCAGACCGGTTTGAGAAATCTTCATATTAACATATGAAAGGCGCTGAGAAGTCCTGCAGAAAATTCACACTAACTTCGTTCAACCCAATGAGTCTGAAATGTTATTGACATGGAAACCTCTACCCGATCTCCATCCCCCCCTTTTTTTTTTAGTAACACTTATTAACACCTTTAAGGACATTCCATGTTCAAGCTTCTTACTGTGCTGACCAGGAAACTGTCGTCCAGAGAGGGTTGGCGCCACCTTTGGGTTTGCACTGGCCGCACAGCAGAGCCAACGCGCCCGGCGCGCCCGGACTTCCTCCCAGTGGACACTTTCTCCAGGAAGTCACGCTTCAGTATGTCCATTCCTTAACTCCGACACATAAACAGAACACACAGCACACGACTTGATAACCTTGTAATTGCCATCTTAGAAATTACCCTTTCAGAAAATACAAAGGAATCCCTAGGTGAGAGCTGAGATCATGTATACAAATTTGAAGTGTGTTTATATACACGATTAATCACCCTTGTCATGGTTTATACTAGTTATCCAAGTCTTACTAATATCAATTGTTTATCTTCACAGCCTTCCCACTAAAATAATAATACCAATAACAACTACTGGCCCTCTGTTCGCTCTCAATGTGAAGGATAACATTAATATATCGATGCAATTTCTAGTGTTTATCTTCATGCATTCATTTAAATGGAACCAAGACTAAAGAAATCACTTGCTAACAAGATAATCACAAAACAAATCTTTGTACCAAGTCCTTCATTGCTACATCAAATCCTATTATCACTAACTAAAAAAAAAAAATTCTTTACTTTAGAATTTGGTTGGAATCAAGACAAGAAAAAAAGAGGAGGGTGGAAATTTCCCATGCTTCCCCACAGCAGAAGAGTTGAAAATCTTTTTTGTTGTTGCAAAGATTTATATTGTAACAATGTTTGTTATATTAAATTTTAACTGATGCTTGATTGGAAATTTTTAAGGTAATATACAAAGTAAAAAAAAACATACTTTAAAAGTGGTCAGTCCCCAACTTTGAAGAGTACTTATGAGAAATAATGTATTAGGAAAGGTCAGTTGGGCTTTCTGTCTGGAAAGTTAAATGTTCAGTGCCTTTATTCTGTGTTTGTTACTGAAGCCTTCTTTATCGGCAGGAGGAGGCAAATGATACCCTGAAAGTGTTTCAAACATGCAACTTTGCTTATCTGCCTGTATTAATGATCCTTATGGCAGTTGTTACATTAACCTTATCACATGGTTCAGCAATAGGGAGAATCTATTGTGAAAAGGGGGGAAAGCATTGTTTCATATTGGAACTTTTTGTCAACCCAGCAATTTTCTGATTGTCAAGTGGTGATGGAGGGGGACTGGGAGTAAAAGTTAGATTTTGACTAGGTTTTCTTCTCAAAGAATAAAGTAGACATTTCCCAGCGGGTAATTCATTAAACATCAAATAATGCACAGGACACAGATTGGGTTATTGATGAAATGCTCATTACATGAGTTCTAGCCTTCATGAGGTCCACCAAGGAGCACAGCATGTGGCTCCTGAGGAAGCCAGTCTCACCTGCATGGCCCCAAATTGCTCATTTGTGGCTATGACATTATAAGAAATGCTGTTTGCCCCTCATGAGACTTCTATTTCCTTCTGCATACAACCTCTGTGTTCACGCAGAGAAAATGCAAAGGCTCTGTCTTTAAATCCCTTTTAACTTTGACAACAATACCAAACCTGACCCTGAGACCCTTACCTTCTCTCATTCTCTCAAGGTGTTTGAGAAACCACCTAACTTTATGACTGATATTAATGTTTTCATTTAACTGCAAATGCTTGAGCTCAATACACATCCTAGCAGAATGAACACAAGCCCCTTCTGCTCCTTCAGCCAGGTAATACGCTTTTTCCCTTTTTTTTTTCTTTCTTTTCTTTTTTCTGTGATGCCTTTAATGCAGAGCAGGGCTACTGATTACAAAGAGGCAGTTTGACTCCAGCAATAGGTCTTCTTCACTAATCCTCACTGTCATGGAAATTCCAGCTGCTACAAGAATAAGGGGCTCAATCCATATTTGCCAGCTCTAATATGAAATCTGTCAGAGCCCAAATTAATGAGTTCCAAATTCCTTACATCACGATAACAGGTTAAGACTGGTCAATTAATTACATAAATCCTTCCCGATTCATTGTGCGTTTGCGGCCCAGATTGTGTCTTACATTACTCCATGACACAAGGCCTTTTGGCTCCCGTTGTTCCGCAGAAAGGCCCCATTTAAGTGGAGGCTGCCTGCCACCGCAAAATGTTAAATGTCACACGTTAAATTTGCACTTTTCTGTAATTGCTTTTGTTAAAAAAAAATTAAATGAAAGCACAGGGCTCCCAGTACACCACCATGCAAAGGGCTGAAATTGCATGGAATGAATCCCGGCACAGGCAAGTCCCTGCCCACTACCTCTCCCAGTCTGCACCATCCCCTCTGCACCTGGTGCCCAGGGAGCAGCGGAACCCGGAAAATGGGAGTTTGTGAAAATAAACCAAGTTTCCCTTTGGAAGCAAAAATATTCAGAAGATTCTTTTCTTTATAAAAGGATTAAACTGGGATTCTTTACATAGCCAGCTTCCCTTCTGTTAACCAGTAAACCTATTATATATGTAAAACGCCATTGCTCTAATCACGTTTTTGGGAATACAAATTGTTCAACTGTGTGTGTGTGTGTGTGTGTGTGTGTGTGTGTGTGTGTGTGTTGCACTTGTGCAGGCCTTTGCCTTCCAAAAGGATGTTGCTAATGATTTTACTATTTGAATGTGTAACTGGTACATACCTACAGAGGAAGACTTGAGGATTAAGAGCTCGAAGGACTTCAATAATCAATCACCCAGGCCAAACCTTCTCACTTTTGAAACACCACAATGCGCCTGGAATCACGGCTAGTGAGAATTACTGTGTCCTAGAACTACAGACTCCCGGATTCCTAGAGCAATCTCTCCTCACCCCAATACATTTCCTTTTAGAGTGGGCTTTTCATGTGCTTGTGTGCTGTGTATGGAGTGGAACCAGTTCCGCTGTGTTTCTTTCTTCATCTCATTGCAAGCTGAGCCTTCTGCGAATACACGGGCCAGCAGATGATGCTCCCAAGCACAGACTGACACCTCTGTAGGGCGTTGGTCCTTTCCTCTTGGGAGCCTACCCCACTTAACCGCGCAGACACTAGCCAGACCCCAGGCAGCTCCTTCTCTGCAGCGCTGGCCCGGCAGCGCCCTCCTCTGTCCTCTGGCCGCCTTGCACCCAGTGTCTGCGACCGCAAGCCTGTTTTCCAAGGCAAAGAACGGCTAGTCTCCGGGCTCCCGGGGTAACAGAGTGGGGGCCTTGTCTCCAACTACAAGCCCCCCCCACACACACACACATTAAACCCCGACCCAGGGCTGTTTCTAGACCAGGAGGCACAAGCTTCTTCCTGGATGCAGTCCCTCCACCAGGCGCGACTGTGCCCTCCCTTTCAAGACAGGAAGGGAGCAGGTTAAAGCGACTGCAAGTACGCCTTGCAGGTTTTAGGGTCCTGGGGAGACTATAGAGGAAAGGGGTTAAGTAATGTGTGCGGTGCGGCACGGATAAAACATTTGGGACCCGTGGGTTTCGCCCAGCCACGCGACCACTCCGGGGCACTCCCGAGGACCCTCCAGGCCTCAGCCACACCCAGGGCGGGGCGGCGGCGGGGCTGCGGGGCTGCGGGGCTGCGGGGCTGCAGGCCAGAGTCCAAGCCTCCTGCGAGCGTCTGCAGAACAAAGCCTAGGGCCCAGCCCCGTATGGTAAAGGGACCCCGTATGGTAAAGGGGCCACTATCTCTCCCGTTTTCCACAAGGCAGACCCAGACCACGCAGTTCTGGAAACCCACCCGGGCGGCGGGGTCCCAGCTCCACACCTGCTCACAAGTCCAGCCAGGGTCCTGCAAACGATGAACTGAAGGCCCGGAGGGTCATCGGTATTCCAAGCTCCCTCCCACACCAAGCCTGCCCCCTGCCCCAGACCCCTCCGTGTTGTTTGTTTGTTTGTTTGTTTGTTTAATTTACTATGATTTTCAAGCAGCCAGAAGGGGAAGGGGACCTCGCGGACCCACATTTGAAGCAGGTGGGGCGGGGGCGGGCGCCGCAGGCTGTGAATTGCTGCCTTTTTGCGGTTGTTGTTCCCACTCACCGTCCGCAGCCCCCCTCCACGCCGGTTTTTTTCTTTCTTTTTCTCCGCAGCGCAGTTGCTATGGGTTACCAGGGCGGTTGCCATGGGTTACCGGACCGAGGCCGACTGGCTCGCTACCTGCCACCCAGTCGCCAGTCGCCGCGGCTGGGGTCCGCAGAGCAGCCAGGGCGGGAGGAGGCGGGAGCGCGCGTGTGCGGGGACCTGGCGCGAGGAGTGCGCGCAAGCAGGCGGCGGCGCCGCAGCCAACGGGCGACCGAGGGGGCAGCCGCGGGAGTTGACAACCACAGTGGGGTGGGGGGGCAAAGCTATAAAGAAGGCCCAGAGGTAAGAAACTAGCGAAAACACAACCTCAAGTTATACCCGTGCTGTGCCTCCAGCAGCAAAGACGAGCGGTGTGGGGTTTTGGCTGAATCTACACTTCTCGTTCGGGGAGAAAGGGTATTTTCCTCTTTAGCATATGTCATTTGCATAGTGTCTTTAGACCAGAGTTTAAATAAGCAGAAAATTGTAGCTTATTTTTTTCTATTCTCCTCTCTATCTCTTGAAAAGAAGTCTGGAATTTTGGAGAAAAAGAAAAGGGTCATTAACTACCAGAGTTTTCACAGCTAAAATAAATTAGTGACCAATGCACTGTTCCTAACAATAATCTAGAAAAGTTTCCAGCAAGATAGAAGAGCAATTGTGTCTGGCTTGAACGGACAATGGTGACTGGTTTTGTGAGACGCATATGGCAAAGAATAGAGCCAAAATCCTTTGTAAATATTTCCGTTTTTAAGGAAATTGTTGCTTATTTATGTCGTTCTAAAGTTACTGGACTCCACTCTATTACAATGTATTAATTTCTTATTACCTTTAGTTGCAAAGAAAATTGTATTTTCATGCTTTGAATGTCAAATTGCAATAACTAATTTCTGACAGCATTTTGTCTTTGAAAATGTGTTTGTATATTAAATAAAGTAATAAAAGGTCTGTATCCCAAACAAAAGCAGAAAACTGTATTGAAATCGTTTCCTCCATTGAAAACATGCTGCACTGGATTCATAGGATACCACCTAAGTAACTGAAATATTGAGAGGAAAATTATTTAGAAACAGAGTAAGATTTTGTTTTGTTATTTTTGTCTTAAAATTTTAGAGGACTTTTGTGAAAGGGGATGTTCCTTTACAGCTGAAACACAGAAAACCTTATTTGTACCATAGTAGCTCAATAATGATGACTCCTTGAGGCAAAAAAAATACATATTTTGTTCAAAACAACATTCAATTTACTGTTGGACATAATGGTAATTGTGGCTAGGCCAAATGAATTTGTTTAAACTCTTAATGGCCAGAAAAGATATTTTAAGGTAATTTCACATCACTTGTTTGTATTTAATTATTCAATAAAATGTGAACTAGATTTGAAAAGCTCCTGCACAAAATTTAGTATCTTAAGGAACCTGACTATGTGAAAGTAAACATTTCTGTTTTCCCTTAGTAGTTTTTAAAACTCAAAATTTCAACTAGAATTTAAATCCCTTTCTTCTAAGTGAGACTTCTAAAAGAAGTCCTAAGTAACAGGTTGTTGACCTTCACTGTTGACACCTTTGGGTTCTATATAAAACCATTTCCCAAACTCAACACATAAACCTGCTTTATAGGTAAACAGTTTATACCTTCAGAATTTTTAGCCAGGGAAATACAGTTTTGATGTACATAAATCATAAAACACTCAGGATTAGAATTCTTTAAATTTAAGTTCCATTAAAATATATACCTATTCTATTTAGTTTAATTATATACGTAATTATTTTCTTTTCCTAAAGAAAACTTTGCCAAAAAAAAAGAGAGAGAGACTTGAACAAAGCCAGAAAGCCACTGGGGGCTGAAGTTCATCTAAATATCTCAGCTGCTGGGTATCAGCTTTAACAAGTGCTTAGTTATCAGAACCACCAAACCGAGGCAAAAAGCCCCAAATGTGTACAGCCAGAGTGAATATGAAAGCAAGTTTCACGCAACTTCATGAAAAATTACCGATCACTCAAAAACACACCGAATTTAGGTCTAAGTCAGAAGAAATACATTCTCATATAAAATAAATGATCCAACAAACTGAAGTTGATTTTTTTTTCATGTTTAATATGAAAATGGTGAACTCATGAGGTTTACAATACCACAGTATTAGGCATGACTTAATATCCATTTTGATGGCTGTTACATCATCTAAAAGTAATATGGCAATTGGTAGCATACATTACATGCTTTTCGAAACTGCTGAAAAACAGAAGTAATGTGAATTCAAATACATATTTGCCGAAGAGCTGGGGGCTGCTCTTAAATGGCAGGACAGTAAACTTTTCATGTTGGCAAGATAAAAAGAAATTGCTTAACCTCTCTTTTTCTATATTAAAATAATGAGTGTTAGATGATAAAATAACAAGATCCAATACATTGAGTCAGATACTTTCAAAAGTTCAATAATGTTTTACACTGAACCAAAAAAAAAAAGAGAAGTTATGGAAATCATTCTTATTCTAATTTAATTTGTTTCTATTTCTTCTTAGTTACAGACATTTCAAAGACTTTTTAATGATACAATAACTTTTAAATTTCTAATTAAAATGAAGTGAGGTAACATTTAATTATAGCAACAAGTTATCCCAGTTATCGAAAAATGCCTTCCTATTAGTCTCAGAGATATTTTGCACTGTGCAACAGGGGAGGAACTTGGATAATTATCTCAAGAAAATGCTGCTTCGTCCAAAACTTGAAGTTCAATGTAGTTTAAGACATTTTTACTTTGGGTCATGGAAAAAAGTATTTTACTAAATTATATAAAATTATACTAATTCTCTGCCAGATACCTAAAAGGAAAAGGCTTTTAAAAAATGAATAATTAATTCTGAAATTAACAAGTTGATATCCTTTTTCTAAGTTATTGGAATACTTATTGGTAAAATTAAAATTTCTTATTTGTATAAGGTACTACTTCTAACCTAAACATAAATAACAAGTAACCACCACTGACAAAGTTATCTAGTGATGAGAAATTGCACATTTAGTCAGAAAATAAATCATTAACCTGTAATCCTAATTACACAATGCTAATGAAAACAAATGATTTGTTTCCAGCAACCACGCGTTAAAGCTGATGTTGGATTCCTGAATCTATGTATTGCAAATATCAGCAAAATTACCCGCACGATTTCTGTTTTGTCTGATGCGTAAACATTCTTTTATTATGTTTTTATTCATAAGATACCTTTCCCATCTAAGTGTGAAATAGAACACTGGAAAGGTTAAATGCTCTTAAAGTATTTTGGTCAAACACCCAAAAGCAAAGAGTTTCCCAGTGCAGGGGAAGTACCCGACAAGTGTCAGCCGCATGTCTGGATGGGGCGGTCTGGTCTAGCCTGTCAGTCTTCCTCGTGGTTAAGCTCACGCAGGCTGTGTTCACGGTCACACTGCCCCACTGATATAGGAAGGACTCTTCTGTCTGGATTTTAAATGCTATCTATTCCCCTATCTTTTCAAATTCCATAAAACCAACCCGGGTTTTTTGAATATATAAATCATCTCATTTGAGGGCAGGCAGGTTCTTGTTTTACCAATAATGTGTGCCCTATAAAAGAGACTGTTGCAACCACAGGCTTTTAGCTTTCTATGGAAGCTTCGCCAAAATAAGACAACATAAAAACAGCACTAATAAACAACCCAACGTCTTGAAGAATTTAAATACCTTATATCATGACAGTGAGCTTTAGGTAAGAATATATCATCAGCGAGCTTTCTTCTCTGTGACTGGACATAATTTGTGTTTCCTAAGATGGTCACGTTAGAATTCTTGTTCAGGATTCCTGCGGTGCTGCGCTCATTTTACGCCCCCGTGAACCGCTGTCATCGCTACTATGTCCAAACCCGGAGGATGAACTGGGAAAGAAAAGAGGGGGAAAATAATAAAAAGAGGAAATTGGTTTTCACAACACACTCAAAGCCTGAGTAACAGAGGAGAACTTTAATTATCTCCAGTCACAAAGAGAGACAGGAAATTTGGACTTTTAATTAGCCATTTGGAGTGCAGTTGGATATTTTTTTAGCTAGATAATTTAAACGCGAATAATTCAAGTCTGACTAAATGAAAGTCACATAATCAGAATGCAGATAATTGAATTTCTACTGCATTCATTAATTCAGTGTGGAGGTGTGTGTGAAGACTACTATGATGAGCTGTCACAACTCAATAAAATCTCAGTCAATTAATTTTTTCATTATCTCAGTATAACATCAACAAAAAAGGGAAGTGTGCGGAGCTATCTGTACACAGGCATGTGAGTACTATGTGTGGCAGAAATGCACACACGTTACATCGACATGCAAGGAAATACCTTTCTGAATCATAATCTATATCGTTTTCTTTTTTTCCCTCTTCATTTTCTTCAGGGAAGCGTCTGTTCATCAAGGCAAACTTGTGAATTGCTTCCTCTACAGAGTATTTAGTCTGCCCAGAGACGCACGCCTCGATGTCCTCCGCATTCAGGTGGCTTTGCAAGAAGAGGTGAAGTCTGCTGTCGGAGAGCAGCAGGGCATTGTGCAGGACCCTATATAAGGGGGGGGGGGGGAGGAGAGATAATCAGTGCACCACGGGGATGGACAACTACAGGGCAGAGGAGAGAGAAACATTAGAAAGGTGCCTCCGAAGTCACTTCTCAGCTATGGCAAACTCTGCGTCCATTGTGGACTCTGCTTATTAAAGGGATGAAAGCATATGTTAACTTTCATTCAATTATTTGGAAATTTAGGTGAGTAAAAACATGAAGCTAATAGTTAAGAACATCTGTTAAAAGAATAACTTCAAGGACATTTCTTCAATTTAACCATCTGTTGTGGCCATGTGGATTAATTATGGAAATATTTTGCTTGTGTAGTCATAGAAATTTATTCTACTTAAAAAAAAAATTTACTGCCAACCAGCATGTCAATTCTGTGATCTTTAATGGGCTAGGCTGTCAAGAAACATCAAAACTTTCAACTATTAAAAGTTCTGTTAAAAAGTCATCTCTTGATGGGGGGAAAAAAGACCTACTGCTATGCTTATACAAGTTTACAAGGGCTCAGATGAGAGGTGGCTTTTTTTTTTTGGAACACCTAA